GGGGGTCGGGCAGACGCAGGGGTGGTGGGTGTCGGGCAGACGTGGGGGTGAGGGGGTGTTGAGCAGAGAGCTGGTCCGACCCCTGTGGGAGGGACCTGCAGGACTGAAGGTTTCCTGTGGGGTGGGGGAGACAGTGACTCGGGACAGCCCTGCCCCAAGACCTCAGTAACCTGTCTTTGGGGCCTTGCCCCCCCACCCCCGGAGAGGCACACCATGAGCACTGGCCCTTCCCCCTCTGACGCTGGGGGGGTCTGTGTGAGCGAGAGGTAAATTTGGGGCAGGCACTGCAGAAAACATCAATGCTAGAGCTGCTTTCTACACTGGTTTGAAAAACCATTTTCTTTGTAAAGCATAGCTTTCCCTCAGTCAAGCACGTACGAATTTTAATTGGGACACAATCATCACATTAAAAAAAGCCTGCTCTCTTCTGTAAGGTACGTAGTTCGTTACCCCACGAATGGAGAGGAGGCACGAGGCGCTCGCGGCCCAGACCACAAGCAGCTGGGCCCCAGGGCGGGGGGCAAATGCCGCTGCTGCGCTCCTGTGACTGCACACGCTCATGACGCCGCGATTTCACAACACAATCACGTCATTCAAACCTGGAAAGGCATGGCTAGTGTTTGTCCCCAAAACAGTTAATTCTGTTTGGCGTCTACACGGGCATCCCAGAGCTTTCTATCATGTAAGTGACATTTCACATTCAGAGAAAGCCGAAACCTACAAGAATTCCTTGATTTTAGTAAATGACGACACTGCTGATTTTGCAATCTGTTTTTAGTTTATGATGTCCCTGTTAGATTGTACGCATCTCTTTTAAGTTTTTAGAACAAAAGCTGCAGTGTAACAGGACTGATGGCCAGCTGCGCGTGCACCTGACACAACCAATCAGGACGCGGTCCTCGCTGGACACACCCGTCCACCGGGAGGAGGGTGACGGGACCGGGGGCTCTGAGCACACTCGGGGAGGCTCAACTTCCTGCCAGGTCAGGGTGGAACAGCAGACAGCGGTGTTTTCCGTAAGAAAACACCTGGAAAGTGGAAGAGGCAAACAGGACTTTTTTAGGGAAAAGAAACCGTCCTCAAAGCACGTGAGCCTGAACAAGGGACCTCTCAGTCGAATGAAAGGTGCTTCGGGCTGCAAGCCGCACGGTCACGGGGAGATGCAGTTATTCACAAAAAGCTTGTGTGGGACGTTAGCGGGAGCATGAGAATCACCGGTGTTAGTTAAGGACCACGCCGGGCACCGGCCTTCAGGCTTCATGGAAAGGGTTTATTTCTAAAGGCACCTGCAAAATAATGACAGCTACTTGCTTCTCCACTTAAACTTCCATGGGATTTAAACACACACCAGATCCACCCCAGCTTTTCAGACAAAAGAGCAGCGCGTCCCCCCTTGGCTGTTGCGTGTGTGCAAGCAGCCAGCAACACGACCATAATGGCCCCAAACGCGGCCCCGCCCCAACAGCAATGAAGGAAAATACACCAGAAGCTTCGCTTTTCTTTGGGAAGAAATGAAGACGTGACCGTGCTAACAGAAGGCAGCCGCGCGAGCGCACGGTGGGACCGCACTGTGTCTCCGCCGCAGCAGTCGGCTCCTGCGTCTCTTAGGAAAAGCACCCCATTGGTTCGTTCGCAGCACTCAAGGTTAGAAAGAGAGCGTTACCATTGGCGGGCAGGTAGGTGAAGTGCTGGTACTGGCTTCTCTTTCTCTTCCCGTTGCAGACGTAGAAGCTGACTTGGACGGGGCTGGTTATTCTCTGATTGCGAAAAGGCGGGATCTCGACCACCAGCGAGTTCTAGTGAGAAAGTGGCAGACAGGAGGGAGACCGTTAGCGTCCCAAACGCAGAGCCGCCTGCGCGAGGCAGTCGCCTACAAGCCCCTTCCGCAGCGTCGAGCACGAGGCGGGTTTTCCCTAGGGGTGAACAGCCCCTGGGTCCTGGACTCCCGCAGACCGGAGCTGAGAGGTGGTCTGAGGTACTGTGTGTGGCAGGAGGCTGGGGCTTCACCTAAGATGCCACCAGCTCAACCCAGGAGAGAAGCTGTGAGGACAAATGTGGAGACGGGACTGGCTACTGGGCACCCTTCTGCCCCCAAATTATGACCGTGAGAAAATGGACAAAGGGCCCCCTTGGGCCGACTCGCGGGTGGAGCCGGGAGCCCCTGGTCAGGTAGCCGGCAATGGAGCCCCAGGGGAAGCGTGCCCTGCAGGTGTCTCCGGGGGCCCACAGCCCGAGCCATAACCCCTCGAATTGAAGAGGACAGGAGAGCCGGGCGCAGCAGGTTCCGGAGGGGTGGGCGTCAAGCACAGATGGAACAGGGTGCTGCACAGAGGTTGCTGTTCCCCGTCCGTGTTTTAAGTTAAACAGCAACACTTTTACAAAACTCTGCCCCTTCAAGTACAGATACAAAAATATGGCGGTGGGGTGTCCCACCCTGTGGAAGGACACAGCTAGGGGTCGGCGCGCCTGCATCTGGGCTGTCTGGTGCTCAGACGTCCTGACGCGCCTGACCTGGGGCTGGCCTGCAGCCCCTCTCGGGTCTGTCCCCGGAACCACACTCGTGCCGGGGAACACAGTGCTTCAATACCTCCTTTCGTCTGGGAGAAGCCACGGCCCACGGCTGTGTGCGCCTGGTCAGCCTGCGTCTTGGCCAAGAGGCTGCACCCACCGTGGGCACCCAGGTCTGGTCAGACACGGGCAGGTGTCCAGCCTGGCTCTGACACCCCGAGTCCCAGTCTCACCACCTGTCCGGGGACTAGAAAGACGCCACCTCCAGGGGTGTTTCCCGAGGATTCAATTATCAGAAGGAGACACCACAGGTGACGCTGGCGTGGGCACACAGCTGACACCCAACGACGGCTCGACACAGAAGTGAGGCGAGACAGGGAGGAGCGCTGCCTGAGCTGAGGTCAGAAGTAAAATGGGACGTGACTCGGGGTCACAAGGTGGCTGCAGGGAGTGTCTTGGCGGGCGACCCGGGCAAGCCCGTGACCCGGGTGGGTGGGCGACCCAGGCAGGCGGCACTTCCAGGTTCTGTGAGCTCTTAGTTTGATGTGGGCTCAGACGGACATACTTCAGTCCTCTAAATAGGCAGATGATGAAATTACGTGACAAACCGCCGTCCCGTGGGGGCGCTGGTGCTGGGATGCGCCGTAAGGTAAGATCTGTCCTGACGGGAGGCTGAGGGTTAGCAGGGCGCTCGGTGCATCCACGCGAGCTGGTGCGGAAAATCCACTGCCTCCTGCTCATGACGGTGTACAAACCGTCCACACAGCGCAACCCCGCTTGGCTTTAAAAATACGCATGCTACAGTGTCCACGTATGTGTGTGTGAGTGTGCACAGGAGCTCGCGACACACACCCACAACAGGAAGAGAAGGGCAGGAAACGTGCCCGAGCGCTGACGGTGGTGGAATTACACCAGGCGGTGTCCTTTTTCCAGGACACCTTTGTTATATTTTCCAAGTTTCCACAATGAATATGACATTCTTTTATAATTCAAAAAGTATAAAATAGACGTCATTTAAGAGACAAGAGAGATGAACTTAAAGTGAAAGTGTAAGTTCAGTGAAAGTGAAGAGTTAAGAAAAGAGTAAGCTGAGTAAACTTACACTGAAGTGTGAACTTACAGGCCACCACCGTTCACCTGTTCCCCACTCGTTTAGAACATAAAACTGTCAACTGTTTGGCTCCCTTTAAAATACCCACTGTTCAAAGTGGAAAAAAAACTTGATGGAAAATCTGAACATGCAAACTTGGTGGAATTATTTTGATACCAAGAGATGCACCACTTCTGCGGCCTCTCTTCCTGCCCAGGGAGAAGGGGGCGGCCACACGGGCCCTGGGGAGTGGAGAGGACTCGGGCCCACGCTGGAGCTGGAACCGGGGGCTGTGGGCCCACATTTCGCGGTGACCAGTAGGGCAGGAGCAGCGGGGAGAGGGGAGGCGGCACCTGTCCTGGCAAACCTGAAGGCTGGCTCTGCAGCTAACGGCCTGTTTGGGCCAGGAGTCTGGCGTGGAGGCCGAGCTGCCCTAGCCAGCGGCCCTTCCTCAGGGGAAGGCAGGAAGCAGTGCGCGCGTGAGGCGGCAGGCCCAGCGCCCATGAGGGCAGCAGGGTGTGGACACAGTTTTCACTCCTGGAGTCAGGGAAGAATCTGCCCCTCTGACACTTCTGTAAGGCCCCTGCTAAATGGACCAGAGCTTGGAAGAGGACGCCTAAGTCACAGCTAAAAGGTGCTGCCTCCTCCCGGAGCCACCTGTGTGGAGGGAGGGGCCGGCCCAGGGCAGAGGTTGACCACCCAGACCCCTCCAGCAAAGCCCACATTTCCTGCACTTTCAGGAGGACTATCTGCACGTCTCTAACAGCATTCGGGGGAATGAGCTAGAGAGCTTGGAAGAAACTTGAATTTTCTCAAAAAATCACCTGCTAGCTGCAGGGCATCACGTTACCTGAAGACTCCTGCTGCTTCTCTGGGACCAAGAAGGGCACACACTCCATGGTGGACACCAGCCCACACACATCACTGATCACGTTAAACACCAACGGTCTACCCACCCCGACTAGGACAGCGTGTCAGTGGGTAAAAACAAGACGCAGCTCTCCGCTGTGTGCGGGGACCTGCTTCAGATTTAAAGACAGACAGAAACCGAGGGGCTGGAGGACAGCAACCCTGCGAACCGCCGTCAGAGGGAGGTGGAGCCGCCACGGAACTTCAGACAGAGCCCCCTCCACCAGCAGCCCCGGACAGCGGTCACCCTTAGGCTCCTGCGTGTGGACAGCCAAGGGAGCCGTGGGG